AGACACAGCCCAGTGTCCCGTTTCCTAAGAAGTGCTCTGAGAATGGAGTTCCATTTACTAGTGTGAAATACTTATATAAACACATATAAATGTTTTATTAATGTGAATATATATATATATATATACACATAGAGAGAGGCCGGGATGTCCATTAAGAATTCTGCCCTCTGGACTCACATATGCACAGATATCTCTTACATCACTTATTCCTTTATTCATCACTCACTTATTTATTAAATAGGTCTAAGATTCCCATGGTTCAATACAGATGGTCCCCAACTTACGATGGTTTGACTTATGATTTTTCAACTTTGCGAGGGTATAACAGTGTGTGCATTCAGTAGAAACTGACTTCGAATTTTGACCTTTTCCTGGCTAGTGATCCGCTGTAGATACTCCCTCGTGAGGCTGGCAGCAGCCGCGAGCTGCAGCCCCTGGTCGCCCATGTGACCCCAAGGTCACAGTGGACTGCTACGGCGGACTGCGTTGCCAATTGTAGGCTGATGGAAGTGTTCTGAGCGTGTTTAAGCCAGGTTAGGCTAGCTATGACGTGCGGTAGGTTAGGTGTATTAAATCCATTTTCAACTCAGGACATAATCTGTCATTAAGTCGAGGAGCATCTGTATTTAAAATCTCTTTCCTGACCTTGTAGATCCCCTCCCCAGAGGCAAACAATATTGTCAACTTCTGTGTCCTTCATTTTATGCAACTTCAAAAGTATGTTTGTCTGTCTAGAAGCCTCCACACGAATGGCAGCAGAGTGGACGCTCTTCCCTGCACTGCCTTCCTCTTGGCGCTCCTTAGACTGCGGGACGCAGAAAGCCGCTCCCACCCCTTTGGTGGCTGCAGCGTTCCAGCCAGTGGCGCTGCGCCATTTATGTCCCAGGGCCCTGGCCATGGACACGGACACCAGGGGGCTTCCCGGTCTTCTGCTGCTGTGAATCACGTTGCGCCAAATGGCACTGCAGACATAGTCACACAGCAGCAGGTGTGGGAAGTTAACTTGTTCGGTCAATGTTATGTCTGTCATTCCTTTTTAGGAAATTTATTTATTCATCTTCTCCATAAGTATGTCAAAGTTCAGAGGGAACAAAGGGTTTTAAGTGAAAAGTTTGTCTCCCATTCATACTCCACCCGCAATGAGGCAGCCGCTATTCCAGATCCATGGGGTGACTTCAGAGGCCCTGGTCACAGACAAGCCTGTCTGGGTAGGGCTGAGAAATCCTTCTTCGGCCAGTGTCTTTTCTTCTGCAATGCACTGGTTGGGGATCAGATCCCTGCCAAAGTGTTGATTAAAATCAGAGACAGAGGCCAGCACGGTGGCTCACACCTGTGATCCTAGCACTTTGGGAGGCTGAGGTGGGAGGATCGCTTGAGCCCAAGAGTTTGAGGCTGCAATGAGCTACAATAATGCCACTGCACTCCAGCCTGGGCAACAGAGACCTTGTCTCCAAAGAAAGAAAAAAGAAGAAAACACTTCAGTGTAACCATTCGTGTTAGGAATATCCTTTCCTTGGTTTTTAAACAGTCTCATCAGGCTTAGCCATACACCATCATCACTGTCCACTTTATCAATAAACAGGATTTTAAGCAAGTTTTTTCCTCCGTATGTAGTCCGTACTTCTTTTTTTTATTTTATTTTATTTTTTGAGACAGAGTCTCACTCTTTTGCCCGGGCTAGAGTGCCGTGGCATCAGCCTAGCTCACAGCAACCTCCAACTCCTGGGCTCAAGTGATCCTCCTGCCTCAGCCTCCCGAGTAGCTGGGACTACAGGCATGCGCCACCATGCCCAGCTAATTGTTTCTATATATTTCTATATATTTTTAGTTGTCCAGCTAATTTCTTTTTATTTTTAGTAGAGACGGGGTCTCGCTCTTGCTCAAGCTGGTCTCCAACTCCTGAGTTCAAACAATCCTCCCGCCTCGGCCTCCCAGAGTGCTGGGATTACAGGCGTGAGCCACCGCACCCGGCCTTAGTCCGTACTTCTTGCCAGTTGCTTTTCTGTTTGCTTCAATCCCTATAGTCACACTCTGGGAGGCTGAGGCGGGCGGATTGTTTGAGCTCAGGAGCTCGAGACCAGCCTGAGCAAGAGCAAGACCCCGTCTCTATCTACTAAAAAAAAAAATAGAAAGCAATTATCTGGACAACTAAAAATATATAGAAAAAATTAGCCGGGCATGGTGGCACATGCCTATAGTCCCAGCTACTCGGGAGGGTGAGGCAGTAGGGTCGCTTGAGCCCAGGAGTTTGAGGTTGCTGTGAGCTACGCTAACGTCACGGCACTCACTCTAGCCAGGGCAACAGAGTGAGACTCTGTCTTTAAAAAAAAAAAAGCTGGAGGCTTTTCTCAGATGTCTAGTGTCCCTGGGTTGTCTACTCTCGATTAAGTGAGGGGCTACCAGGCACTTTGGCAGCAATGAGCCTTGGAACCACTCACCATCTCTGAGTGTCGCCACAGGGTGATAGCAGTGGGCTATTCCTTGGGAACCCTGAAAACCATTATCTTCAGGGCTTTTCTGCAGCTGGGCAGGTTCACCAGAGAAGCATCTTGCAGGAACTCCCTTCTGGAGACCAAGGTCTGGCTGCCCTGAACATTCTGGGAGCTGAGGTGGGGGATGCAGGCACTAAATCCCTCTGCACCTGTGTGGCAACCAGGCCCCCTCCCTGCCCAGCGCCTCCCGTCCAGGGACTGGGCCAGCAGGTGTCGCTAGACAGGGGTTGGAGGAAGGTTGGTGAAGTTTTGGCCCTGGCACAGCCAGTGAGTTTTTGGAGGGTCACAGTCTGAGGTTTCAGCCCCAGCAAAAAACGGGTAATTAGTATATGCAAGGGTCGAACAATGTCATAAATACAGTGAGGAAATCAGGGCATGCAGCCTACCACCAGAGAGGGAGTTGTAAATACAGAAGAGGTGCCAGCATTAAAACCCAGCGTGCTGTGCTGAAACTGGAGGCACTGGGGTGACGTGGTTTTTAACAACGCAGGTAGACCGTACAGTAATAGATGTATGCACAGTCGGCCCTCCGTATCCATGGGTTCTGCTTTCATGGATTGAACCAGTCGCAGATCAAAAACACATATATATCTAAACCCGGATGGTTGCACCTGCACTGAACATGTAGACATTGTTCCTTGTCATTATGCCCTAAACAATACACTGTACCTACTGTTTACATAGCACTTACATTGTATTAGGTATTTTAAGTAATCTAGGGATGATCTAAAGTGTACAGGAGGATATGCATACATTATGTGCAAATACCATATCATTTTATATCAGGGCCTTGAGCATCTGTGGATTTTGATATTCACAGGCGGTCCTGGAACCAATTCCCCACAGGCACCAAGGGACGACTACATTTACATATGTGTGTGTGTGCATGCGTGTGTGTACACACAGATACATTTATTCCCCAGTTATGTCTGCTGAGGGTAAGAAATGATTCCTCAGTAGCAATGAACACACCTACTACCAGATCTTGGTGTCTAACAACCAAGCCTTACCAAAAGGAGCCAAGGTCTCCCGTTGTGCCAGAAAAGATGACAGGGGCATGCAGGACACTGGAAGCAACTAGGAGCAGCTCCCACTGGCCATTCAGGGACAATTTGAGCATCAAAATAAATGACAGTTAACAGATTAGAACTACTGAATACAGTAGAATCCTTGAATCCATGCTGATATAAATAAATGAATAAAGAAATAAACAGGGGAAAGAGCACTTAATGAATGAAAAGTAATAATGGAGAAGGCACAATAAAGTAGAAAGTCATCATTTTGCAGCTATCGTAGTAAAAATTGGTTAAGACAAAAATTATCAAGAGATGCTAAAGTTGACAGTTAAAAGTTTGATGAGGAACAGGAATATATAGTCTTGAAATATCTCCTTGCAAGATACTAACCCTCCATGTGGAGAAACACGGCAGGCAGACACCACCTTGAGTGAAACTTAACATCAATACAAGGAGAAAAACCAACACCGTGAGCCTCCCGACAGGCTGCCGCGAAAAGAACTGTGCTACTCTTGCCAAAAATGCATCAATCGTGGGGACACATTAGACCAAAAAACAAAACTGAAGAACATTCTGCAGAGTAATTGATCTGTACCCTGCAAACCGTCCAGATCACAGCAGTGAGACTGGGCACTATTCCGGATGGGAGCGGACTCAAGCCGCGACAACACTGCTGGGCCCACGCACGGCACTTTCAGCGAGCTCGCTGGTTAGCTGGCAACTTGTGTCAAGCATGCCAGCGATGCTTGTGCTGGGACTAGTTAAGAGTGCCTTTCTCCTTAGGAAAGATACACTGACGTAGGAAGGGGTACTGGAACATGTCTGCAGTTGGCTGTCAGATGGTTCAGGAAAAACTGAGTTACGTACACACAGGATGCTCGTGCAAATGTGGAAAATGTCAACTAGAGAATTCAGGTGAAAGGCAAACAGAAGCTCCACATACCAATGAGTTAGAAAATTTTTCAAAACAGACTCAGGACACAAATAAACCCAACGCAATGTGTGGTCTGGGTTTGCACAGCCCGACAACCTAAGACTGTGCTGGCAACCACTGAGGCCAGGCGCAGGCCTGAGGCCCGCCGCCGCCCTGCTGCAGGGTGCTGAAGTTTTGAAATTGTCTTGATAAGCTGGCACCGACCCATCAGTGAGTGTGACGGACTGAGGTGGCCAGGCAGCTCCTGCCCACGAGCCTCACGGACAGGTCCGCCAGCCTGTGCCTGAGGGAACCCACCCCAGGCCTGGAGCCCTCCCTCAGTCTCCCCAGTCTGCACCCTCCAGGAAGAAGAGGGGACCGCAGGAAAGCACCTCAGCGCAGTGCTTCTCGCCAGACAGCTGACTTCACTGACAGCAGCCTTCACAGTAAAACTGCTTTCACTAGATAAAAAAAAGGGCTGCAATTCTAACATTTCCATTTAGCCAAAAAAGAAAAAACTTTGTTCTTCTTGCCTCATGAGAGCAAAAAACAAGGGTCATATGAATATACACGTTATCATTAATAACTTTATTTAAATATTCCAAGGATCCCAAGCCCCATTTAAAAATAAAAATTGCAAAGCACTTCATTCAATAAAAGCACATAAAATCCCCTCATAATTAGTATCACAATTCACGATACAGCTCTTACTCTCACAAACATTTTATTTTATCCTTTATTACAAAAGGCACAGAAGTCATCTGAGGCCTCAGATATTAATCCCACTGCATGTTAAGGTCACACTGCTAATGTGCAACTCAATTATTAAAGCTTATAGTACAGTTTCCCAACAATTCAGAGTTATAGATCCTTTCTATAAATAATAATTAAAAAAATACTGGACCTTAAGACCAATATAGGCTTAACAAAAGGGACCTGAAATTTCTGCAAGGGTAGTTTTATTTCTTGATAGAAGTATGACTTTAACAGTGAAAGTCTATGACCAGAAGCAGACACACTAGACCCAGCTTGGCCAAAGAAACAAAGTAAAAAGAGCAACTCCTAAGATGCCCAAAGAATACCTTTTCTAAGCACAGGAAAGCAGTGCTGATCACTCAGACCGCTCCTATCACCCGTCAGTCTGCGTCTTTAGAAACGGTGGAATCAGTTCTGGATTTGGTTTCAGACGACGACGACCAAGGCGGAGGCCTGCCGGGGCCTGCTCACCGGGGTGGCTCGGCCCCAGCCGGGTCACAGCCTGCTTCCGCATCCGGGTCACAGTCTGCTTCTGCATCTAGGCTGCCGGCCTCCCCTGCTCTCTGCTCCTCACTCACCTCGTCCTCTGGCTGCCCGGCACTGCCTGCGCTCTCGCCTGCTAGAACAACCTCTTCTTTCTTCTTCTCTGCCAACACCTCCAGCCCCATCATCCTGAGATAATGAAGCCGTTCATTCTTGGGCACGAACGTTCGGATGGAGGCCTTTCCCCGCCACCCACACATCACGATGGGACACTGAAGGGCATCTGGGTTCCTACAAATAAAAATGGCTTCCTGTAAATGTTAAACCTTCTCACAACTGCATCTAAAGAGATATTAATATTCAACCTCTCAAAAAATAAAAAAATACACACAAAACCCCCAAAACTATTGGAAGGACATTTTAATCTGTGATCCTAGGGTCCTTCTTCATGTCCCAAATAAGATCAACACCCTCGGGTTGTTGGCCTTTCCTTCTGAGAGTTCACAGTGGAACAGCCCCCAAATCTGCAGATTTCACACACACTTTCAATGCTAGAATTTCTACCTACTTCCTACTCAAGTTTAAAGTCCTACCCATGCTACCCACCCGATGAACGAGAGGCATTTCTCCCCGTGCTTCTCACAGCTGCCCTTACATTTCCATACCTGAATGGACTGAGGCTCCTTAGAGCCAGTGAGCGGACGGCAGAGCCAGGTGTGGGACCCAGGACCATCCTTTTGACACTCAGTGCTTTGCCTAACAGGGTGTCTAGTGACCCCACATCGCAAGCTGAGCCCTGCCGGGCACGTGCCGTTTCTGCTCCCAGCGTGCAGCACTCCGTGCTGAAGCGTCCTCGCCTCCAGCCCCTGGACCCGCTCAGCGCTCCCCTAGCGGAGATGGCAGTCGGCGTGTACCACGCAGGCCGCCCCTTCGCGAGTGCTTTGTGCACTGTTAGTTAACTTCTTCCATACCGCCTCCGCTCCAGTTTTCAGGCTCCTAAAAGCCCTACTTAATTACCTTTCCATTTTCCCAGTGTAAAGCACGGACACTAAGTGAGAGGAAAATACAAGAAATTCCCAAACTGCCACCTTTAAAAAAAAAAAAATCTAGTAATTATTCCTCAAGCTCTTTTCACCTGCGTATTTCAAGTAGTAAAAACTGGTGTTTACATGTGAAAAAGTGAATCCATATCTTAAGATAGCCCAATGTTTTCTACGAGGGCCGCATGGTTTGAAAAACCGTTTCTGCGCCCTTATCCAAACTGTTTTCTAAAAGCGCCATGTACTTGCAGACAAGCACGCCCCAGCATCTCCCACCTGAAACCTTCTGGTGATCCACCGCCCTCACCCCACAGAACGCCCAAACTGGCGTAAACGCCCAAACTGGCGTTCACGGCCAACATTTACGAGCCCGCCGCACCAGCTCTGCACTGCTCTGCCCATTCCCATCAGCTGCCACTCCACCCACTGCCATCGCCACCGCTGCGTGGGACACTGTTCCCTATTCCCAGCGTCCCAGAACCCATTCCCCCAGCTTCTGCACTGTCCACACGTGGTTTTGTTCCAGCCTCCCCAGCCACTCCTGCTTCTACTGCCTTTGCCACTTCTAACGATGGCATACCCCAGGGCAGACCAACGCCTTCTCTGTCTACCAACACCGTCTTTCTCAGTTACTGCACAAGCCTCACGGTTTATACTGGATCTAGATGCTCATAAATCCCAAATGTTCATAGCTGCAGCTTTCTTTCCTCTGAATTCCTAATACTTCTATCCAGCTGCCCACCCTAATGTCTACTTTCACGTCCATTCAAGCATTTCAAACTTAGTACATTAGTTCTTTCCTTCTCTTCACATCTTGGGAGATGACATTTGCTCAACTCAAAACCTAGAAGCCTGCGCCGGGTGCTCCGTCCTGTCACTGCCCACACTCAACCCACCTGGGACACATCCCCACGGCCCACGTGCACGACCGCACCGCAGCCGCCCCTGAGCTGGTCTGTTTGCCATTCTCACCTGCCTGCTCCCTCTCCTGCCCACCCACCCTCTACAGTCCACTCCCGGGGACACAAGAGCCCCTTGGCCACGCAGGGGGTGCAGGTCTTACCCATCCGTTCTCCTTCCCTCCTAGGCTGCGCCCTAAGTCCCACATGGCCCTCCAGCCCGTCCCTGCCTCAGGGTGTGTCCCCGGATAGTTCCTTCTCATCCCTCAGACCGGGGATCAAATGCTAACTTCCCAAAGAAACCTACACTGTGGCTCTACCTAACCACCCTCCAAATCCCGCTCAGCCCTGCACCCCATTTTATTTCCTGCTCTTCAAAATGGTGCTTTATTTTACAAAGACGCTGTCACAGGTGAGATTCTGATCCTGCCACTCGAGCTGAGGCACTCGGGCAAGCCACCTAACTCTGCATCCTGCTGTCTTCATCTGACCAGTGCTGTCGACACCAGGACCTGCTACTCCGAGGACTCCACGAGGATCCGGGGAGACCATGCCTGTGACATGAGCACCGCGCACCCCACACCCCACCCCTGGAACAACACCTGATGCACGCAGGTGACCAACACACATCATCTGAACCAATGAAGAAGATGCAAGAACTCAACCTCACCTACCTGTCCAATCTTTACGTTTATTCTGCATTAGACGTAAATTTGACTTAATTTCTAATGCTTAAAGAGTAAGTACTACACATTTTATTCTCTATAAATAAAAATGCATTTATTCAGCCTGACTGCTCTATAAAAAAGTATCCTGGTGATGACCTACAAGAATATTTCAGTTCTGAAGTTCTCATGATACTACCTTCAGGGGAGCAATCATAAAAGCCTTCTGAGTCATGAAGGTTCCACCCTCCCGTAATCCTTCCCTCCCAATGGGATCACTACACGGCTACGAGGCATGTACATCTAATGACAAGGCGTGTACCAACTTACGCAGAATCCGGTTCGTACTTCAGCACGATGCTTCCCTTTGCTGGAAGAGAAACAGATGCACATTTGCCAAGTTTTCCAGGCAGTGGGCACATACAACGAGGATGTTTAGGCGCCTAGTGCTGTGTGAACAAATATTAATAATACACACTCTTGGTCTCCAAGATCTAGACGGAAAAAGAGGCCTCTGAACATGAAGCCAAGTTTGAGCAAGGCAGTAAGGACAATCTGGACGAGGACCAAAGGGATTTAAAGTGAAGTGGCTTGACTAGTCACTCAAAGAAGCAGGGAGGCTGGGAAGTAACTATTGGTTAATCCTCAAAATTCAAGATTAAATAAATTACAGCACCAACTCCTAGAAACAGCATGAAATACACAAGAATTATAAAAAATGATACTGCAATCACCTAAACGTAGGATTAAAAGAAAAAAGAAAACAAGTATAAACAGTTCCCTTATTCTTTAAAATAATCTCTCCTTTAAATTGTGGTTTTCACCAGAGGAGACAACAGCAGGAACAGACTCCACACAGCATGTCTGTGTTGTGTAGGAACACACGAGCAGGTTTTAACAGGTAAGAGATATGGTTACATAACTGCAGTAACTGATTTGTGTGGTTTTCATCAAATTGAGTCAGAAACATTGAACAAGTTATAAAAAATAAGAATGAAAACAAAAGAAGAACAAAATTAGAATGGATTGGTGAAATTATTTTCATGCTTAGGGGAAAACGTCACTAGAGTGATTTGAAGTGGAAGTTCACAAAATATGAAAACAATAATGCAATCAATAATACATCCTGGCTGGCCAGCATAACAGGAGGAACTGCTGGCGAGACTGCATTATTTTGCTTTAACAAGGGTGGTTAAAATGCCAAACAAACCAGATGCCTCATGTTAACTGGTCTTGTCTACCTGTGTTCCTTGTATTAGTAACAGACGAACCCAAGTACGAGGGACCTGCTGGGCAGGAGCTCTGGCTGGGGCCACTCACACAGGCTCGCCGTGGGCGACACCAGGGGCTCTCCCAGGGCCTGGGGAAGTAGAGCAACCCCCGAGAGATGCCTTTGATCCTGAACATTCTGAGATGTCAATTAGGCTTCCACAAAAAACCTCTAAAATTGATATAATCAGTAAAAAGAAAGCTACAATGTACTGACAAATATGATTAATAAATACGCCAGAAAAACAGAAACACTTGTATTTTCACTGCCCTTATAAGGATAATACAAGTTAAGCCTCCATGTAATTCAAATTGCTTACCCAGGTCCTTGGCTTGACTATATGTCTCACTGCTGAGTTTTCTAAAAAATGGATTTTCCTGGGTCAGTAGTGTCTTGACATCTTCCATTGACACAGTAATAATTCTTGAATTAATAAATGGATACAATGTATATATTCCCTGTGGAAATAAGAGATAGATCACCATGATGCCATTCGTGAACGACAGCAATCACTGGCTCTCAGGGACGTTCTGTGCATGGTGTCCAGGCCTCACTACAGCCCCCCAGAGGAAGAAGCTGGATGACCTGCAGGAGAGGCCATGCCCAGGGTCCCGCCAGCTGGAAAGCCCAGTGTCCTCCCAATGGTTACCCAAGGATTTGGGGCGCGTGTTACTCAAGTTTCGTTCCAAAATTACCTCCTGTGCCAGCCGGAAAGCACAATCAAACTCTTCACCACTGTTATTTCGACACCAGACTTTTATCCCTGTGTTAATAACCTATAAATGAAAAAATTAGCTGAAATACACACACAGATAAACGCAGATAATCAATTCAACATCCCCTCTGCTGCAAGGAGGCAAGGCTGTACGGAAGCAGCTGCTGAAGGGGAGACGGAAGAAGAAACAGGAAACCACCGAGAAGCCACCTGCCTCTCACAGGGTTCTCAAGAACCAACTAACGACTTCTGTGTACGGGGGTTCAAAGGCACAAATAACCACCACCGTAGAAATTTAAACCGGGAAAATCTGAAAACACAAGAATATGTCAGCACACATGTCAGTGGCCACTAAGGGCAAGGACGCTGTCACAGGTCGCCTGGCCTGGCAACCCCCAAGAGAGGAGTGAAAAAGCAGATCTTGTCTTAGTATTGTTAGGGAAATAGTTGTGACTCCGTGGATGCCCCAGAGCACTTGGTGACTGCTGCCTTAAACAAACAGGCGAGGGGAGAGTGCGCTCAGAGAACGGTGATGCAAATGAAAGGGGGCTAAAACTGGCAAAGTTCTAAGGAAAATGTCCACAAGGACAAATCAAAGGACCACAGGAGCAGCAGCAGTCGCAGCCCCCAAACCCTCTGCGCTCTCTCTCCCAGGAGGCCAAGCCATGAGGACCACACCAAGGCCTGTCCAACTGCGAGGACAGTGCCACAGAAGGGCACAGGCCACCAGAATAGGAGGACTCTGGTGGGGACCACTCAGCCCGGTGCCGGCCAACAGCTCTGAAACCACAGGGCAGGCTTGGGGAACCTCGGCCAATGCTGCAGGCAGGAAGGCAGGTGCCGGGATCTGCTCCACCCAAATCAAACCTGTCCTCAGAAAGGAAGCGAAAAGCCCCACCCCACATACCTTCATCCTCTCGCTGTTATTCAGCAGCACGTTCCGCAGCTCCTTGGAAACCATGTAGAGCTGCCTTTTCTTCCCTTCTGTAGTCCGAGTCAACAAGTTCATCTTGGGGAAGGAGGGATCCAAAGCATAAAATTTCCTGGAAACAAAATAGCGCCGTCATATTATACAAGTTTAGTTCAAATTCTGGTAGACTGTCTCTCAACACCTCACTCTCCTACGCACTGGAATTTCTAAAGCTGCAGTGCAGGATGCAGGCACCGGGCTCTGCTCTGAACCCCACCGTCTAAGCTTCATCTCCTTCCACCTGAAACCTCCAGGCAGTATTTATTTGGGGCGCAACTGAATTAGGGACCTACAGTAACAAGTGCAGCTTCCCGTCAGCTGCTACTCCAGTGACAAGGACCCAAGAACACTACTTTTGAAACTTAGTTTTTAAGAAAGATTTTTACTAATGTATGCAAAGGACCAGTTATAAAGAAAAACTAAGTGGCTACTCTGGCTACTCAGACTCAAACACATGAGTCTGAGACTGTTCTCCTAAGCACTTTTTCTCTATGCTCTGCCTACATTATCCCTAATTAGCACCCACGCTGTCCCCTCCTTCATTTCTGCAGCAGGAACTGACTACACAGCCTTGGCCACTGGACTCTCAACTGAACTGAGTAATTCACGTTCAGAATCACAGTCCAGTTCTCTCATCCGTCATCTTTACACGTTCTTTGTGCGTAAAGTTTTCCTTTTTGCCTTAAATTGAAAAGTTGAGTAAACAACCTCTAAAGTGTCATCCCGCTCTAACACACAGTTAAAAAAAAAAGCCATACAGCACTAAATACAAAACAATGGCTAAATGTGGTCAGTATGCATTTATTACTCTATAGCAAATTCCCTTAAATGAAGAATTAAAAAATTAAGAAGACTGCATTAACCCTTACTCAATAGGAGGAAGGAGCGGGTCATCCTCAGGAATAAACACAAATGGATCTTCTTTAAATCCAAATAACTTCATTTTCTTTGAAGGAGGAGGACTAAAAAAGGAATTAAGATAAGATGAATAAATCTGTCATCTTCGAGATAAGTTAAATACCTAAAGCACATCCTTCCTCTCCCACCAGCGCTCACCCTGTTCTGTGTAGCATGGGGTTTTCTGCACATGTCCCGTATCAGGAAGCAGATGCCGACCTTCTAACCTCCACACATGGAGCACAGCACTCACACGCGTGTGTCAATACCACATATGTGCTGTGCTCTCAAACCCACCCGTGCAACCCCCAACAAGCACAGCTGTGGGATCCCATTTAATCCAAGGAGGCTGAGAAACACTAGATCAATATCAAGACATAACCCTTTCTCTTACCCACACACACCGTCTTTCTTATTGCCATTATTCTCTAAATTCTCAGTTGTTTGAATTATTTCTGTGTCACCAGTTCCTGTGACCGACTGGCTTTCCAACTTGGAGGGGTCTGCGGGTTTCCCTTCTGTGGGATCTGCAGGGCTCAACTGTGTGGTTTCTCTGCTCTCTGCAGACTTACCCTGCAGCTGTCCGAGGGAAAAAGTTCATTTACACACAAAGAGCAGCATACTTAGCAATGCTACAAGAAAACTAAAAATGCCAAGTTCACAAAATCAGTTACATTTTTGTACAGCATTATATGCAGAAAAACAAGAGAATTTTATTAAAGTGTCATTTTAAATGTTTGCTATCGTAAATGAAATTCATGGACACCATTTCTTTGGTGTTAAAGCTGATTATACCTTACTCCCACAAAGAGCATACATAGCCTTTTCCTTAGGAGAGGCCCATTGCACCAGCTTGTTTCCATCTAAAAATGTTTATTGTGCATCTGCTCTGTGTAAGCCACAATGAAGGACACAAAGAATGAGTAAACATGATTCCTAAAACATCAGGCGAGGGCAAAAAGTACATGTATAACAATAAGGAAAAAAGTGAGAACTGTTCCAGGGCATATGGACAAACCGCTGTGGCAATTAGGAAAAAGAGCACATCTCCAGGCACTAAGGAAATACGTGCTGAAGAATAAGCTTCTGAATTAAGGCAATAGTATAATTTACATTTGGCTTTGAGGATGAGCAAAATGTTTTACTTCTATCAAAAAATCTTTTAAAAATACGTGTAGTGTTCTTTCTAACAAGTCCTAAGACTGGTAAAAGTAGGAATTCGTAGTCCCAGTGAAGTTTACAAATTAAGATGCTTCTAAACAGGCAAGTTCCACATTTCTCCAAGGTCATAAAGGTATTCGGTGGAGGAGCTGGAGTCCGAGATTCTGTGCTCTAACACTATGCAACACTGCCTCCCAGAGAGTGCCTTTTATTTCGATGTAGAAAACAAACGGACAAATGCCAAGCCTCCGAACAAGGTCAGTGACAGCCTCTGTCCCTGCTGGCAATGGCGCCCTGCTCAGAGGCCAGCTCAATGGCCCCTTCTCCACTACACTCTCTCTGTTCTACCTCCACAACAGAATTCCCTGGCTTGGGTTCCAGCTGTGTGTTCACACGCCTCGTCGCCTCAACTAGACTAGGGCGTGCTGCCCACTGACGCTCCACCGGAGTCACCCGCAGGCCCCCAGCAGCACGAGTTGTGCGAGCGTATAGGGGAGACAACCACAACACACGTGCTGAACTAAATAAGAAACCAACCTAACAGAAAGGGGAGAAGTATTAATATTTAAATGAGCAAATGACACCAGGTTGTTCTAAAAAGTAAGACAATGTATCAGAGGCAAAATGAAGGAAGAGTCGAAACCCATTTACACAGATAGTTAACATGACAAAAAGGCCAACGCACAACTCGTGAAGCACTGAGACAAGATGAGGAAGGCTGCACTTTCCTCACCTCTCGGCTTCCTGACCTGCCTCAGAAAGGAACCGGGTTTAGATTCATTACAACAGGTCAGGCCGTACGTTTTTAGCCAGGCCTGGACCAGGTCTTTCATCATTCACACAGCCACGCCGAAGCCAGGCCTGCCTGAGGTCAGCGGGGGCTCTGCACCCACTGGGAACCGGAACAGAAGCAGGGAGGCTTCCGACTCGAGCCACGGAGCATTCCCAACCACTCTCATTCCACTTCCCTATCCCCTAAGAAACGTCTGCTTTGGAAACTTGAAATTTACATGAATCCCCCCTCGCTCAGGCTCCACCCTCTGCCCCAGCCCATTCGACTCCTCTTTGTCTCTGCACGTCTTCCACTAAACTCCTAGCAGGTTTTGTCTTAAAAGCACTTGATGAAATATTGTTATTTTGAGAAAAAGAAAAAAAATACTTACCTTCTGTTGACGTTTATTCCATGGCATTGATGATTTTTTCACTAATACAGCCACAAAGAACCCTCCAGTATTCTGATGATGTGGTAATATCCTAAGGCTAAAAAAAAGGGTAATTCATGCTTTTTAACTGATCCAAAATGCATCCTTTTAGTGTTAAGACAAAAAGGTGATGTGAGAGAAAAGTCATGTCTTACTGCAAATACTTAGGCGGCCCTCACTCATAGAATGGCCAATATGTAATGTATAAAGGTTCACGAAGCATTCAAAGTATTACCGTTTAGGTTCTAACCAATTTCACTATTTATAAATACCTACTGCCAGCGACTGACAAGTCACTGAGAATGTCCTACCTGCTGGGAAGCTCACACCTGTGAGGCTGTCACCCTGCCGCCTCTAACTCATCCCAACAAAGTGTATCAGCTCCCCAGAGGACTGGACCTCCTCACCCTCCCCAAACCCAGAGAGCCTCACACACTTACCACCGCTCTAGGCGCATCGCTTGTAACTTTTCCGGGTCCTTTGGTGGGAACATGGTGGGTCGAATCTGGGTGTGTCTGCTGTGAGGGACGTCATCCCAATCTGTAAACCACTGCCCATCTTTTGTCATTACCTGCAACATGGGAAGGCACATTTCTGGATTATCGGCACCAGCTAAGACTAAGAAAAATCACAGAGTAACAGTGTAAACGCTCTCAAACGTGACAAATGCTGAATCTCACTCTCTCCAAAGATAGGAAGACTATCTGCCAAGATAAAAACAAACCAAGCTTTACAGAAAATCCTCAAATTACATAAAATCTGTTAAAAACAAAGATGAAATACTTTCATTCCAAAAAATCAGGATAACCAATATAAGAGAACATTTTCCATGCAGCTTTTTTTGTTGTTGTTGTTGTTTAAAGCCTCAAAATTGATTCTGGCCTAAAACTGTAAAGTGAATTGTTTCATACTGGAAGCGAAGCTTGAATCCCAGACCATTAAAAAAGCAAAGTTACCTTATGGGGAGAAGAGTAACAAAGCTGATTCCTATAGGTGAAATAAGGGCAAGAAAGCTTTTCCACATTTGTATGATCATATCATTTGTCATTAAATATAATTGTGAAATTGATTCAACTACATAACCTGATGTAGTATTTATTCAAGTTACCCAAAAATGCATACTTTAAAACTATTATGACTCTAAGTCTATTAAACTGAAGCTACTCTTTTGAACTGAAGTCCGTGAAGAAAGATTACCTTCCACTGCATGATTCCAGGCATCCATTTCAGCCCTGGTAATTCAGAAGACACATCAGCCAGCTCCAAAGCCCCTATGTAGCAAAAAAAGAATATATACATACTTTTTAGAAAGGCGTGGTACATTATGCCCAGTGAAAGAAGCCAGACACAGAAGATCCCACATTGTATGATTCCGCTTATAGGAAAAGTCCAGGGAAGCACATTCCATTGATGAAAAGTAGATCGGTGGCTGCCCAGGCTGGGGTGGGAACAGGAAGTGAGTGCTAATGGGCCTGAGGGATCTTCTGGGGGTGAAGGAAATGGTCTAAAGCTGGACTCTGGTAAGGGGTATCGAACTCAGTAAAATTATTAAAAATCGTTGAACTGTACACTTAAGATGAATGTTACAATATGTAAATTATAGTGCAATAAAGCTGTTCAAATGAAAAGGCACTGCAGAGTCCCACCAAGAATGCAAGACTAACTCTGCTTAGAAGGCAGCCTGGTATGTGATACGAGGCTGGGATGCAGAGTGCCTGGTCCATCTCTCTGTTCTAGACTCACACCAGTTAGATGATTTGGGTCTGCATGGCTTTATGTCTAACAAACATCCCAGAATGAAAAAGCAACATTTAAAAAGCACTGTGGAAATTTTTAAACAGTTTTATGCCACCCACCACGAGGGAAGGCCAGCTTAGCGGAGACAAGGGCCTGTTCTCTCCTAAATCAGCAGGAGACCTGGCTTTTGGTTCCAGCTACAAGTTTAAAACAGGAAAAGGAGCAAAAAGAAATACATAGAGGTCTTAATTAGACAACAGAGACTTAGCAGAGGTAATAGAATGAACGCTTCAAGGATCTACAAAAACCTTACTAAGCAGCACAAGATGGGGCTGTGACTACCACGCCAAGTCAAGAAAACCCCTCACCAAGAAACGAGAGGAAGTCAGTTTTAAGAAAGCAGTTTGAGAACCCACAAATACTGGAACTACCCTTCAGGCTTGAGCAGTAAATAGCAACTGGGCTTGCAAATAATAAATGTCGATTTTCTGTTTCTCCAAGATCTGAGACCAGAGTGTGGCAAGGAGCATATAGGAGGTGTTTGTGTTGTTCAAGCTATACGGAATCATATTGTCCTAAAATTCCTAGCTAATGCAGACATATTTGAGCAGGATTCAACAGTTCTCACAACTGACCCAAAGTCATACTTATAGGTATGATTTTACTATGGTTAAACTAACTAGGAAATTAGATCTGCCACTGTCCTCCTTACACACCTTCTGAAATAAAGTACCACCAAAACCACGGAGATTATGACCATGCAAGAAGGATCACCCAGAAATCACAGTTCTACGTAGGTCTACGTAAGTACAGGAAAACAAAATAAACACATCAAATTCCAGTAGAAAAGTCTCTAAAGGCATCACGGATCAGAGGGCTGCAGCCCAGCCCAGCCCAGCCCAGCTACTGATAAGAACCCAGCCGAAAGGACGGCAGGTGTGGACGCTGCTCGGGAAATGCACACACATTTCACTAGTAACATTTCAACTTACTTCATGCACATGGGCACAGTGAATTCGGTAGTGTTCTACTCTGGAAACACAGTATAAGTTTGAAATTTCCCATTATTTGCTTTAAGGAGAATATGATAGGAAAAGTTAAGATTTCAGGAAAACAAAAACAGAAATATTTTATATCAAAACATTAGGAAAACTGTTCTTTGAGAATATTTTACACTACATGTCTGTAGTAGAAAATGGTGTGGTAACACCTCACACCCATTAGGATGGCTACTAGCAACAACAAAAAAAACCTCAGAAAGTGAGAAGTGTTGGTAAAGATGTACAGAAACTGGAACCCCAGTGCACTGTGGGCAGGAATGTAAAATGACGCAGCCGATACAGAAAACAGTATGAGGGGTATTCTCAAAAAGCTAAAAACAGAATTACCGTACCATCCACGAAGTCCACTTTTAGGTATGTGTTCAAAAGAATTAGAACTAGGGTCTCGAAGAGATATTTGTACACTATGTTCACAGCAGCATTATTCACAACAGCCAAAAGATGGAAGGAACCCACCGTTTATTGAAAGATAAATGCATAAACAAAAATGTGGTTTACACGTACGATGGAATATTATTTAGCCTTAAAAAGGAATAAAATTCTGACACACGCTACAACTTGGATAGGACACAGTACTTGAACTTTGAGGACACAGTACTAAGTAAAATAAGCCAGCCACAGAAAGACAAATACTATATGATTGCACTTATATGAGGTACCTAGAGTAGTCAAAACCAGGGACCAAAAAAAGAGCGGTGGTTACTGAGGGAGAGGGGGATGTGGGGAGCTACTGTTTATAGATCCAAGAGTTTCAGTTTTGCAAGATGAGGAGTTCTGGAGACAGATGTTGATGGAGATGGTTGCACAACAATGTGAATATACCTAACACTGCCAAACTGCAGACTTAAAAATGATTAAGATGGTAAATTTTATATTATATATCATATAAGCAAATGCCCAGGAAAAGGCCTATAGGAATACACAACTTTTCTTACCAAAAAACATTTTTAAAAAGCATACACTTTTATTAAAAGATGCGTCCAGTGTGCTTACCTTCACTTTTTTCCAGCAAAGACGCTATGACTGCTTCATCCTCGATGGGGTTTAGTGAACACGTGGAATACACCATCCTCCCACCTTCTGCCAGCTGCTCAGCACCTCGAGTTGCAATACGTAGCTGTAAGCTAAGGGTTGATGTTAGATCACAGAAGACTGAACTAGTCCATAAAGCACACATATTAGAAGCACCTATTTACTAATTATGTCACTTATTTATTTCAAGTTTTTATGATACTTATAATAAAAAAAGCTTAAGGTTCTAAGTGAAATTAGAGTAAACTTATATAAGGTGTTTTGTGTTAATAAAAAAGCATCTATTTAAACAATTGTCTTTACTGTTCAGTTAACCTTTCCCAGTATGTCACCAAGCAAAGCAGAAAGTTGATTAACTACCGAAGTCAACGTATTAGATGAATTTCACCATTAAAAAAATCTCCATACTTGCACAAATATGTGATTTTTCTACGAAAAATTTGTATTCCTTCATATATTCTATTCCCAACTTTTGCCTCTGTTTCACAAAAACAGGGGATTTTGCTGCTATTCAGAAGCCAAATCCCCTGCTGGAGCTATCTGTGGTGGATGTCGATCAGCACACTTTACATCACGCGCGGTCCTGCTTGCAAGAACATGCACCTTTGCATGTCAAATGAAAACAAGAATACAAAACTCTATAGACAGAACAATCAAATCTATTTGAAACAAGTATTTTAAAAATCCCTATAGACAGAAAAACACCACAATATACCAAACATTAATACAAGTTATCACCACTTTGAGATTTTTTCATTTAAGAATTTTCCAAATTTTCTTACAAAGTTTTCCCCATCATAAAAAAAAACCAATCAAAAAATATTTCTAAGAGATCAAAATGTTAAGCAAAATAATAACACAAAAGGACAAAAATGGAGAGGAAAAAGATTAATAAGACATTAAGAGGAGTTATTTCATGAAAAAACATTTGAAATGTTACAAGAAATTTTCATAAAAGTATTTTTAATAAATGCATTTCTGAAGTGAATAAAATTTGCAGTTACTACTCTTGAAAAGTTTTAAAAACAACTTCTGATATATAAGCAAACTCCTGAAGGTGGCCATTTACTATCATTCTCTGAGGTTTATAGCCTTAGAAGTAAAGATACGAATGCTCCGTTACATAATTTAAAAATAAATCTTTACTAATCTACTTGTCATGCAGTGTTACCAAAGTTTTACTTACCCATGTAGCTGCAAGCTATTTAAGGTGGTCCACTTCTTCCAAACATCAATGTTTTTTCTCATAGTGCCATCTCCACTAGAAAGTAAATATTCGAGAACTTAAAATTCTACACAGGTAGACAATTAAATTGTAATAGATGTGTCATATTCAAGCTAAATTACAAAATAGGTATTATTATAAATATCAATTGGAAAACAATCCAAATTTTCACAAACCACAATCAACTTTCTATTTTAGCAACAATCTAACACCTTATACTTTTTAATTATATTTCAATTTTCAGTCTAAAAGAAAACAATGGATTTGAACAGGAAACCTCATTCAACACCTAAAGAGATATTAATCTGCTTCCACTTGGGAAAAATACTTACAAAACTTATTTGCAGACCTAGGGCACAGAACCTTGAATACTATTTAGAAATTCAGTTCATCAACAAAGACATTTTAATGAGAACCATGTGAATAATGATAAATTTACATTCAAATTTTCCACAGCAAATTCAATTAAGCTAATTTAATTTCTTTTTAGTAAACTTTAGTAGTTTTTCTATAATCAAACATTTCTGACTTTCCACTTTTATTTAATGAAAGTTATTCTCATGTTTTTATTAATGGAAACTATTTCCTTATACATTTTATAATAAAGATTAAATCTGTTAATCTTCTGTCCTCGTCTAATTTTATCTACCCAGTTTTTCCAGGAGTAATGCCTGTCTTTTTCTGTAAAGTTTAATTTTCCTTGGTGGTCTAGCCACATGTGCTTAAGGTACGAGGTCAGCGGGATGGAATGTTCTATGAGATAAGATACCTGCTTTTAAATGATGTCCTTGAATGTATGCCAGAGGCTTATATGGTGGGAAACTACACCATAATTTCAGAAACTTCCTCAGCTTGCAACCAACTGCTCACTAGGTCATTTCGTTCTCAGGTGTAAGAAATGAGTTATCTTTCTGACCACAAGAAAACACGAGTGGGAAAACATGGGTCCTTAGGGAAAATTAGAAAATTGCAACGTTACAGCCTGAACACAAAAGAGATCCCATCTCTACAAAAAATAGAAAAATTAGCTGGGAGTGGTGGCTCGAGTCTGTAGTCCCAGCTATTTGGGAGGCTAAGGCAAGAGGATCTCTTGAGCCCAGGAGTTTGAGGTTGCAGCAAGCTATGACGATGACACTGCATACTAGCCCTGGCCCTGGGCAATAGAGATCCTGTCTCCAAAAAAAAAAAAAAAAGAAGAAGAAAAAGAAGAAAAAAAAGAAAATTGCAACCTAAGGGGGACAAAAGAACTTAGTTCCCTGGCCTATTTTCAATTTTACTTTAAAGAGGAATTTTTCAGGTATTGTAAACACAGGCATATTCAGTGCAACCAGATGAAATTTTCAACCTGAGTCCTGCCACAAGCAATAAATCTGCCTGCCACTTGTTTTTAAAAAATGGAATTCTTCCATAATGAGGTATCATATTTAAACCTTGTGTTTATTGCTAACAAGTTTTGTGGCAGTTTTTGAACTATGGTCTCAACAAATTTATACTGTTCAAAAGGTATTAACACCTGAGATCATCATCGTCCATGTACCACCTCTGGAAACTGAACAGATGCCTTTAGTTATGTTTTTTTCTTTTTTCTTTGGAAAAACTGTTACTCAGTTTTACTATGGAATTCTTTTACATATAAACTCTAAATATCTAAAACTTACATGTAAAATTTGAAGAAAGGTATAAAAATACAGGTAAAGTTAAGTTTTTCAAAGGTCTGAACTCTGAATTTCGCTCATTGTATTATAAACAACGTGAAACCCAATATGTTTATGTATTATACTATGACAAAGTTTTCTACATAGTGTACTTATTAGAAGAACAAATAGAAATTCTTGAGATGCACAAATTGTTCCAACCAATAATATCCTGAAATACACCACAATGAGAGTTTATGATTCTATCTTCCTCTCAGGTATTTTCTTTTATCTTTTTTAAGACTATCAAAACCATCCATTTTTTAATTTTTTTCTGCATTCAATGTCTGATCTGCTTATTACTAAAACTTTGAGCGTGAATCTTGTGGTTTAGGCTTACAGTAACTTTCTCCATACCTGTGGCCACAAGACTCAGATGTACAATTGCATGTGAGTTCACAGGCAGCTTCATTTTGGTCTATGTTTGATTTGATTTCCTTAGTGGATTTTGGGCTTTCTGGACCCTTAAAAATCTAAATACCTGCAAGGGACATCACATAAAATTCGATCATAGAAGAGAATCTCTTTCCTTCCATCCACGTCTATCAGGAGTCTGGGGATACTGGATGCGTCATGGTTTACCACCATGATGCAGGGACTGCTTAATCGTTTGGCTTGATGAACGAGCAGATAACAGCGCTTGTTGTCCACATCATTAGCGATAACAAATCCCTCTGGGAACATAAAATCAGTACCATCACGTGAAACGTAGCATAAGTGGAGTCATTTCCTGAAATATTACCGCTAAGTCAGCAGGTGAGAAACAGAAATCCTCCAAAGTTAAGACACAAGGTCAAGATTTTTCTAGAAATACATTAAGTGGTTCAGAAAAAGGAACTAGGGAGCTCTGCATAGATTTTACGGACACTTAAATTTCAAAACCTCAAAATTCATTTGTTCAACAATTATTCATATTGTGCCAAAAATGTCTTCTATTATTAGCAACTATTCATTACAAAGGAGGGTAAGCAGAGAAAGGCATAGAAAACAGAATCATCTGACAAGAGTTTTAACATACTGGGCATGGGCTGGGGCTTCAATCTGTGAATCAGACTCCCGGCGTGGGGTCTCAGCACCCGAAAGTGTAAGCTGTTCTGGGACTCTCCCCAGGCTAAGAACTACTGCTGGGAAGTTCACTGGGTGCTACTTCTGCTCTTCTGGTAACTCTCACACCCTCAGCAAAAAGGCAAACATGCCTACAACATTTATGATCAAAGTCACTCTTCGAAACAGTATGAATTGCAAAGCACCATAATATAAAGAGGAGAAATCACTCCTGCTGGGCTATCAAGGCTCTTTACCACTGATCCGGAGAAAATAATTAAAAACAGGGAAGAACAAAGGCTGCTTTTCTGGCAAAGGCATTATCTTTGAATGACGTAAAAAGGAGGACTTTAAAAAACACAGCTAACAACTATGCCCATTAAAACAGAATTAGAGCAGGCGGCTTGAACAAAGAAAAAGAAAGTAGGATGAAATAACAGTTGACTCTAAAACACCATGGAGAGTATTTGTATCCGCTTCTTAAAAGAATCCCTATAGCTGGGTGCAGTGACTCATGCCGGTAGTTCCAGCTTAAGGATCATTTAAGGACAGGAATTCAAGAATCCCTATGAAGGGACATGGGTGATACTAAAATAACAGCTGCTATTTTCTGACCACTTTTCTCTCTTATATCCCTGCAAGCTAAGCACTGACGTTCCATTCCTTATGTGATGTCTAATACCATCACACAGCTTGCCTATTAAATGGTGGTGGGATTTGAACCCAGAAACTCTGACAGCACCTCTTAGTAACTATGCTCTACTGCTTGTCACATAAGGCAGTAAGTAATCAAAAAAAGAAAAAAGGATGGGGGAAAGGGGTGAACTGTTACTACTAAAAATTCAAGTTGCAAAATCTATCTTCTAGAGGTAGGCTTGATAAAGAAACACTACTTGCTTTTATAGAAAATATAATTATAAAATACAGCCCCCCATCCTCCGCAAGTACAAATGTGTTGGTTTAAGAACTATTGATGATGGTAT